TGGTTTTGGGACGTTAAACCCCACATATCCATCAATCACTCGATCATCAAGCTCTGAGAAGACGAATACACTGAGAACAAAAGCAGGGTCAGCATTCCCACCTCATGAAGAGTGGCCTTTCCTTTCACGAACACAGCCTGTGCATCAATCCCGCCAACCTTGATGCCCTCACGAACCACTGTTGCAAAGACAACTGAGTATCGTCAACTCATTTGTTGCAAACATGTTGCAGACCCTTATGAGCGCAATGCGCATGCTCCTAAGCAATATGAACACTCCGTCAGCGCACAGCGCGCTGCAGGTGCTGAACACTTTGAGTCCGGTGCTTGCAGCTCTAAGGTAAAACTATGGCCCGCGACGACATGTTATCCTTTCGAGAAGAGGTCAAGAACGCATCTGTCATTCAGTGGAATGCTAGAGGGCTTAGGGCGCGTATGTCCGACTTCCAGCAATATGTATTCACGAACCTGTTCTCCATGATTATGATTTATGAACCGAACATGTCACCTCACATTAGACTCTCTGGATGAGTGCTTTGTGTCTTCTACCCACGGAGAATGCAGTAACGTTGTCGTGTTCATACGGCGCGACTAAGCTTATGTTCATCACACTGAACCCCCTGACGAAGAAAACCAGTACGTTTGCCTAACAGTAAAAAACAAGAAGACCCCATTAACAATCATCGGAGCCTACTTACCACCTTGAAGTCGTCTAGACCGCAAGCGTTTGCGCAGAATTTTGAATTCAACTCTCCAGCCATGGGTGATAACTGGCGACTTTATTGCTCACCGCTACTTATGGGGAAGCTCCAGTGTCCACACCAGAGGTACACAGTTAGTGTCTTTCACTCCTGAGTGCGAATTTATCATCGGGAATGACGGCAGTTCTACTTATCTGCGTGGATTGGCCTATAGTAGTTGCCTGGACCTCACTTTCGCTTCATGATTGTTCGCCTGAAGAGTGCACTGATTTGTGGATTTGGAAACAATGGGTAGTGCCCACATCAGAACATACCTGAATATTGACGGATTTCCAAGTCTCAAGTCCTCCAGAGCCGTCCAATGCACTGATTGGCAAAAATAGAAGTTAATCATGGAAGACTGTGTTAGCGGCTCATTCTTCAACCTAGAGGACGCAATGAAGAGTGTCCTACAGTTTACCACATGTTTGCTTTTAGTGAGCTCGTCTGGCAGTGATATGGACATTTAACTCTAGAAACTTTGAGCGATTCGTCGTGGTGCAGAACGACGTTATAGACTCACGAAGTCATTTGATGATCTGAGGGTGGCCAGAAGTACACAAAAGAAAATACAGCGTCACATGGAAAAGTTGGATAAGCGACGATGGGTTTCTTTCTGCGAGTCTGTGGATCCCGGAAAGCCTCTGTCACTAATCAGGAGAACTGTCCGAGGTCTTCTTACAACTATTACTCAGCGCTACCCATTTAAATATCTGGCACTTCACTTACGCTGCAAACAGATTGACGTCACAGAATCTTCCTGTCGAAGTATTGCTTGCGGGGAAAATTCAACTGGGGGGAAGACGCCCGACTGTTCACAGTTTAAAAAGTTTGCGCGTATAAATTAGCAGCAGCAAGTACAGAACCGAGTTGACTGGCGGTACATGGGAGAAGCTTTTGTCCTGCAGTGGACGTAGTCAGGCTGATAATGATGATGATGACCATTCATGGTATCACAATTTGATTATGAAAGACGCCGTAGAGGAGGGCTCCAGAAAACTTGAGCATCTCTGGTGTTCTTTGAAGTGCAAGTAAATCTAAGTACACGGACCTGAAGCATGTTCACCACAATCTAAAAGGAGCTCGCAGTGGTCGCGACTCATTACTGCGAGCAGCGCGCCAGCATTTGTTTTCCGACCCGCACGTCGCGGGTTCGATTCCCGGCTGCGGCGGCTGCATTTCCGATAGAGGCGGAAATGTTGTAGGCTCGTGTGCTCAGATTTGGGCGCACGTTAAAGAACCCCAGGTGGTCGAAATTTCCGGAGCCCTCCACTACGGCGTCTCTCATAATCATATGGTGGTTTTGGGACGTTAAACCCCACAAATCAATCAATCAAATCAAGCATTTGTTTTCCCTGTCTTTCTTCTCTTGTATGCAAGTCTTCTCACCCTGCTTTCTTCAAAAATCGCTCACTTTGTGAGTCGTCATCTACCGAAGTGTGTGCTTTATGTTTAGAAGGCGTCTTCATCTCAGTGAGCTCTTGTGTTTCAGATCCGTTGCAGCAACCCCAGGCCTCTTTTTTTTTCTGCACATTGAACCAGGTGTCGCAATGTTTGTCCAGCATAGCATTCATAGAAGTCTCTGTTGTTCCTACCGCAGATTGTTTGAATGGTTAGTTCAGAAAAAAAGGTTGTGGGGTGATTTACACAAGCCTTTCCCTGCCACCTTTTTTCACCGCAAGTGTTCATCGTGTATCTGCAACGTAAATACTTTGGCAGCTGCTATAAATGCAAGGGAAGTTGGCACTCTTAAAATCCTGGTATTCTTGATTGCCTGTTTTTGTTTTTGTTTTTGTGATGTGTCACAAGGAACTTTATCGGAAGAGCTTTAGTTTGTTCCCTTTCAGGAGAGCTTGTTTAATGCGTGACAGCAGAACAAATATATAAAGACGAGAAGGGAAGAGCTATAGCGTTATATTATTCAGCATCATTGAACTACTAGCAATTGCTCAGTTTCGCTAACAGGCAATCAGTGAACATGTTCTCATAAACTTCTGATCCTTGATTGCTTTGAAGTAAATTGAGTTGATAGACAAGACAAGTTTCAAACATGGTTAAGTACCATTGTACGTAGTACAAAAGCCCTGAAAGTTTGGGAAACGCCGTGGTCTGCCAACTATGCAAACTTTGCGAGTTTTTCGCAGTCAATGAAATACCAAAAACAAACGTGTAATAGTAAAGTTCCTTTGTTGTCTGAACGGCAGTTACTCGCTGCGTCCTCCATGGCGTGCGAGTTATGCGAGAGCGTGAATCCAGTGCATCGTTACATGCCCCAGCGTTGGCACGCATAAGCTCAGTTTTTTTTTTTTTTTTTGACAACGCGCGCACGTACAACACAGCGTCGTCGTTGGTAAACCGCTGCACGCCTCATTTCGCCGAGAGAGAACGTGAGGGACAGAGACCGCGTAGCCAGGGCAGCACAGGTCGTCCGCTGGAATAATTTGCCCTCAAGGAAAACAAACACGTGTCAACCGCAGACGTGGGCGCCATTCAGGACGTTACCTTTCTTTTTCTTTGCTATTGTTCGTCTTTTCGTTTCACCTGATAAGAAGAGATGCTTCTCCTGCAAGCAAACACGCACGCTGGAGAAGATGGCTGTGCCGCTTGGCCGTCGTCGGGTTAAGGATATAGCCCCGAGACGGCTGAGGAGCCCGCAGGGATTCCGCTGGAAGGCGAGCAGGCGTCCCCCGTTAACAAGGCTAACCGCTGGCAGATATAAGCTCAGTGGAAGCGAGAACAAAGAAAGGATGATAATAAGCGAACACGTGTACAGGAAAGGAACGAAAAAGAATGAAAAACTAAGTTTTTTTTGCGGCCCCAAAGCGGTCGCTGCAAGAGGATAGGCACCTGCAAAATGAGACCCCGAGACGGCCGGCGCTGCGTGCGAGTGCGCCCTTTTGGAGCATTATGACAGGGAAGAAAAACCTAGCGAGTTGCAGAGTACGCGTTGGCGCTGCTCCCAAATTAGAAGCTTTTGTCCCTGACGCCCGTACACGTTCCTGCCTCCCTGTATCATCCTTTTTTTTACACCCACTGCGACGCCGGTGGCAGCGATATAGTTGGTCGAGTATGCCGCGCCGCTTGCCGGCGCCAACGCCACTTGGCACAAACACGCTTTCGTTGAAGCTTGAGCCTCTGTCGTTTGTTTGTTCATTCGGCAATTTCTTATTCTGTCGCTTAAACTTTTTCTAACTTCGTGCGCACGTGATGGGGGGACACTATTGCCATAGAAAATAATAACTGTGTTGCATACGGATCAAAATCGGGATGTGTTGATGAGGCCCACCGTTGTGAGGTCATCTTAATTGGCTTTATCCACCTGGGGCTTATTAGATGTGCTCATCTTAGGAAGATGAGCACATATTCCTATGATGTGCTCATCCTAAGATGTGCGCATCAGCACATCTTAGGAAAATGCTTTGTGGAGCATGTGCGGTGCACAGGAGCATTTGTTGTCCTCTGTTCTTGTGTGTCGTCCTTTTGCGCTCAAATTTGTATCGGCACATCGGCGTGTTTTTGTGAATTCATTGCCGTCGAAACGCGACTCTTATCCAACATGCTACCTCAAGCTCAGCAACGGGATGTCATAGCCATTTGGCTACCATTGCCGGTAAAACAAAGAGATAGAACGGGAAAGAGAGAGCGAGCGGAAGCAGAGAAAAATAACGGCGGTGGTTGATAACATGACGATACCGTTGGTAGGAAAGGTCGCAGTGGAGCTTAGATGTTTGCGTACTCTTCCCGAGTGGAGCAGTTGATTAAAACAGCGAGTCTGGAAGGAAGCCATTAGACGCATCGTTCAGCATGTATTCACGGGAAGAGACTCATATATTTATGCTGAAAAATTACGTATGTGCCCTATGTAGCATTATAAATAGAATTATTATGCGTCGTGTAAGGCACATTTGCATCGCGAAGTAGAGTAATTGTTGTACATATAGAGGCTTGAAGATTATAGAAGTTGTACACCCTAAATGTTGTCTATACATTGTATCTGCTGTGGTTTCTTTCAAACTTGTACCTGACCTTCGTGTCGGTCGAATTTCTCGTGAGGCTGCTGACTTCCTAAGGAGTTATACGTTTGGTATGAAAGCATGAGCTCGACGAGTTACAAAGGATGTAGTGCTGCTTTGAGCGCTACACTGGAGAACGAATAAAGAAGGCAAGTTATATAGAAGCAAGAAAATGTACAGGTCAGAACAAGATATGAAAATCAAAACAAAACATCTTTTCGTGGCAGGGGCATTGGCGCATGACTGACCGTCGTCCGAGTCGTAGAGGTAGATGATGAAGGACCAGTTGTAGTGACTGATGACGTCCAGTATGGCCGGTATGTAGTTTGGCTTGAGCGACACCCCGAACGATGGCGGCCGGTAGGTGGCCATCTCGGGGAACGAGGTGCTCACGAACGGCATGTGGAACGTGTTCGACAGCGACACCAGCGTCTCGTACGATGAGCCCACGTTCGGAGCCACCACGGTGATGATGCCGCGGCTCATCTGGTGGCACACTGCACATGGAGTGAAACGCAAGAGTCGAAGCCCTTCATTTAACTCCTTGAAAAACATGCCATATGCGAAAAAAAGACTATACACGAAAAAAAAACAGGTATACGTCTGTTTAGGTGGAAAACATCTGGTGTACGCGTTTGAAAAAGGCGCGAGAAAGCTACGACGCACATGCACGAAGGGGACAAGACGATACGCTACTGGCAACTGAAGTTTTATTGTTGCTAGTAGTCCTGTTGTCCTGTCGCCTTCGTGCCTGTCTGTTATGGTATTTTCACGCTTTCTTCAAACATGAATTTGAACCAGCTCGCCCAGATGGCCCTGCTGATTCAGGCGACAGGGTACACGCTAAGATGTATAGAAGTTTTTAGTTGAATGAAACGCTTTACGTAAGAAGGTGGTTTCGTGTTGTATCCCGTTATCTGTATTGGGGCCTGTAGCTGAACAGAAGTGGTCATGAATGCTTGAAGTGTTTAGTTTCGTTGCGTAAAGGGAGAATATTGACATAAAACACATGTTTAAGTGGATACCGTGTAAGTCTATTGAACAGGAAGGATTGAATAGAACAAACAGAAGTGATCAAAGGGCCTGTTTTTGTCAAGCGCGACAAAGACTTGTTATGCATGGTCCTTTAGTGCCGAGACAGAGCGAGAGAGATAAGAAGATAGAAATCGCAGAGAAGTTAACAAGGTCAGCAATCAGATTTCCTAGTTTGACTTGAGGCTACAGAAGATTATGCAGGTTTCTCAGGAAAAAAAGAAAGTCTTGCTGGATTTTCGGCAGGGAACATTTCTTCCTGGGGAACATATACATGTTTTCTTTGGGGATTTGTGCTTCGAACTAGTTAATCACAATTTTTCATTTTCATGAACATACCTCGAGCTTAGGGGCTTCAGGAGAACTGGTTGGCTCTATAAGTGTACTGTTAATTTTACGAATTTCGAAAAAAAAATCAGATTTCACGAACGCAGCATAGTTAAAGGGAATACACCAATAGTTTTGTACCTGCAACTAAGTTAAAATTATTTGGCCCTCTTTAGAATCTTTACGCCGTTGTTGAGCAGGAGAGGGACAGGCGTGAGGTGTCAAAAATACTCAGATTGCCTGCATACAGCCTCTCCAAAACTTTTTTTTAGGCCTTGAAAAATCGGGATTGGTTGATGGACTAAACTGTTCGTTCCTTTGGTAAGATCTCTTGTGCACATGTGCTTCTAAAATCAATGTCAGAAAATGCACTTATTACGCATGTAAGCTTTGCAATAAATTAGCGCAGCTATTTCACCGACTCTAAACAACTAGGCGCTAATGACTTCGTGCAAACAAAGCACCGACTTCAAATGATAACGGCTCAGAAAGCTATCTTATGACGCATAAGTTAATTACGCACTGACGTCGCTTTTTCAAAGCGACAGAAAGGGTGGCGTGACTCTCTTTATCTGCCCTCATAAATGTGTTACCACGCCACAGATGCTTGCGATCCCACAACGCGCACCGTTTGGTAATTCGACCCAAATCTCTTTCCATACGCCACTATAAATCACTTTTTTTTGTTTTCGTCGGAAGCCACTTCTCCGAGCCACATTTGATGCGGCGCGCTGTTATGTCAGTGAAATATCTCCTTAACGCCGGTTAGGACACGCTGTTTCAATCACGTAGTTGTGGTGGTAAATTCTGCACCTGCCACCGTGCACACGTTTTTACGTGGGCTAAAATGAGGATGTTAAGCGAATGATTATGTTGTAGATAAGGAACACTGCCTGCACGTTGAAGTTCGACCTGACAATCACATCTCGCGAATTTCGCGCAGGTTACCAGACGCTGGTAGTTTTCGTAACTTGCAGTAGACGTTCGTGCGCGTACACAGAGTTACAGCAAACAGACCGACACAGTTCAGGTTTGAACACGGCATCTTTTATGGCCATCGGTAACTGGGGCAAAGGAGAGTATGTCTATATTTGTAGGCTTGGTGGTTAGGCTTGAGCCAGCAGGTTTAGGCGTGCTGATCTGCATTGGACCGTATCATCTTTCAACCGACAATCGGAGCGGCAGCAGACGACGTTAGTCATATACCTGTTTTTTCGCATTGTATTATTAGTGACATCTATTTATTTGCAATCATAATCGAAGCGTATACTGAAAGCGAGCAACGGGGGATCGCAATAAGAAAATAAAAGAGAAATGGTGCGAAACAGCAGGTGCGAAACAAAAAAAAAACATATTCGGCTTTGACCTGAACAGGAGCTACAGCTTTCCAAGCCGTGATGCTAAAAGGCAACCAACAAGCCGAGCGTGTCGCTCTAGGCAAACATTCCACACAAACTCCTCGGTGCTTCCTGTTTTGATGTTTACTGTGGTGTTACCCAGCGAAAGCAGAACCAACGTAAACCAAACAGTCTAACCAGAAGCGCATTCAAAATAATCACTGCATCTTTATTTCACCTTTCGACGTCTACTCACAAAGTAGCAGCACGAGGTACATGAAACAGCGCCGAACCAGTTCAAAAAAAGTAAAAAAAAGCAAAAGTTTCTCTTGCGCCTCTACACTGCGAACAATCAGGCACCGAAAGCCGTTGGAACATGAGAGTGCGGCCTCATTGGAAGCTCATCTTGCGACTGGCCGGAAAAAAAGAGGAATCGAAACGAGTCTAATATAAGAAAAATAGTTCTGATTGCGGATAGACTGAGAAATAAGAATACACGATCGCACACACACACACACAAAAGAAGGCAAGCCAATGACAACTGGTAGAGGCAAATACCAAACGAACGAAAGAAAAAAAGATGAAAGAAAACTAATTACACTCAGCCGTCACCGAAATCAGCCTTGCAGTGTTTCGGTTTTTGTCGGATATTCTTCTCGGTCACGTCGCTGCCAATAAGACCTGATTCGGGTGAACGTAAGCCAGAGCTGCCCGGAGATGGGTAACTCCGGAGGAGAAGGAGAGAGAGAGTGATGGGATGGTTCGGGATAAGGTTGAATTATTTGCCGACTCCGAGTGCGAGTTGCGGTGCCTGGCCCGTTTTCCGGCGCTGTTCGGTGCGCTGCCGTTGCTTCTGCTGCCAACATCGACTGCGGCGGTGACGCAGAGCCCTGCGCCGGCACGGGGATACCGGTCGAGGCGATGTCTTGCTTTTTCACCTCGATTCTCCCCCCAACGTTGGTTTTGCTTGCAGCGATCGATACATGTATATACGCGTTTATATATATGCCTACGTGTGCGGTACTCGTGGCGTCTTGCGGTTGTGTTTGCAGAAAGCAACGAACGACGAACGTCGCGGTGCGAAGTTGTGGGGAAATATTGACAAGAAGGGAGTTCTATGAGTACTTTACTTGCTCGTCTTTTTCATTATTTTGATATTTGTTTCCTCCGCGGCTGTCTTTTTCTCTTTTCGGTATTCGTAAGAACCGAGTTCGGAATAAAGCTGTGCCTCGTTTCGAGCCGTATCATATGCCTTGGAGTAGTATACACGCATTCTGGTGAAAAAAATATGTTTACAGAACTTTGGAAGATGCTCCTTCTTCTGTTGCTGGTGTTGTAGCGCCTTCAATAACGAAGTGCATTTGAAGTTTGAAGACGCGAAAGAAAACGCCTATTGTGAAAGTGTGTTGAACGACAAACATTACCAGAGCGTACAACGATGGCTGCCCTAACTGCAATAAACGCCACAACAACGACACACAGAATAGTATAGCCACAAGCCAAAGCACAGATCAGCTTTTATTTTCTCCTTACTGCTCATTCTCCTCTCGTTGAGGCCCGTTTTCGGTGCACTTGCCGTGAGGGCTATGGGTCGCATTACGCGCGAGCTGTTGCCGAATGTATAGCAGGAGAGATGGGTTAGATGAGTAGTCGATGACGTTGAACGGCGTCTCCCAGCGCACCAAACAGAGAGACATCATTTCTTTGAGAAGGTCTCTTCGGAATAGACAACAAAAGCAGGAAATTTGCGGTAGCTGGTCGACCCAGACCACTCACTAGGGCGGTCCACGGGGAGAGGAATGGGCCATCCGGTCCACCGGTCGCGAGACATCACTTGATCGCATCCGCATTGACATTCTTGCCGCAAGACAGCCCCACTATAGCATAAAGCAGTGGCGAATGAGAGGACAAAAAAAGAATGACATCAACAAACACGTGGTGAAGTTCGGGCAAAGAGGAGGACGCGTTTGGGCAGCGGGGGTCTCTTTCGACGACGCGTATACACGGCTCGCCCCATTTAGCACCGAGCCAGCTCGTCCGCTGGTGGGCCCGACCCACTCCCTAGAAGTCGCATGTCTTTTCCGGCCACGCTGCTTCGTCGGTGGCCCGTATAAACATCGGGCCGGAAAAGAGCAAGCAAACACGGACTCTTCGGCGACGACAGGCCAGTGAGCCCAACGTGGGTTGCCGCTGTTTGCTCCTGCTGCTGCCTTGCGAGATGACGTCTACGACGATGATATTCATTCGAGGAAGCAAGCGCAAAGGATCGCGAGGGGATCGGCAGTAGGAGGGGGGGACGGAATCGAAAGATCGGCGGCGGCATCTTCAGAGCGCCGCTGGCTGGACATCAATAACGCGCCGCGTCTTTCTGCGAGCTTCTCTCACTGGAAGCTCGCGGAGGCGGGCTCCTTCGGGGCGCATTGCCGCAGCATAATGCCGTCTCGGTTGCCTGCCAGAGAAGCGCCGCCGGATGCCGCCGCAGCGCTCTATAGCTCTCCTCAATGGATCCCGAGTCCTCCGAAGGGTTTCAGAGGCGGCGGTGAGCCGCTGTCTTCAAGGTTCGATGAATGCTCGAGTCAGCTTTGTTAGAAGAGTGGCGCGCGGCGCTCTCCTGCGCGGTCGTAATGGATACGGCTCGGTACACGTCGTTCCCGAAATGATCGCTGAATAGCGATTGTGCTTCCTTCCGCCTTGCCCCTTTGTGTGGAATGTGATGAGTGGGGAGGGGGGCAACGCGCGGCCGCGGGCTCTATTCGCGGGGTGCCTTGTATGGCTTTCGACTCCTTGGCATCTGCTTCCCG